GGCGGTTTCTCTATTAGAAAATTATTCCTATCAGACTTCCTACTACATGATACATAACAAAAATAATTTTCAGATATAGGTTTCGTGATATTGTTGAAATAACATTGCGATAATGTCCTTCTGGAGTATCCAACATAATATTATGAAGGGAAACGTTTAAGAGGATCGACGATGCATCAATATTGAAATCAATATCATTAGATAATTGTAATATCTTCAGATATATCTCACTATCTCAGACACAGTTGTTACGTTAACGTAAGTTACATGTATGCAGGATACAAGGGTATGATTTTTTTCTACGGCAAAGTAACCTTGTCAACTGTCGGAAGTCAATTCAATTCCATTCCAGTCAGTTTATTGTTTGTTTCTATAAAAGTAAGTTAGGAACTGAACAAGTCATATGGACTGGAACAAATTCGAATGAAAATATGAATTAGGTACTCATGATAACTACTTAGATTTCAGGTTTGGTCTGCTGGAATATAGAATGAGTACAACCAATCTGTATCTGCATTTATAGGTGGAGAAGTAGGAGAGATTCGTAAATACGGGTTGTCCTCATATTTCACGAAATACAATCCCTTAATCATGCAGAAGTCATATACCTAGCTAGGTTTGACTGGATTTATGAAGCGGGATAACTAAAATGATACTTAGAAAGATAGTATAGTCTATCTGTCTCAAAATTTCACTGCGTGTAACTGGATCATACTTATAGTCTTTCAGGAGACAGGCAAGATCAATTTATTCAAACAGTCTTATTCAGAGATAGATCATCTTCTCTGTCTTTTCCAAAGATCGTACAGATGATCCTCTTGATGATTCCGGAAAAAATAGACATATACCTAACCTAAAAACTCCTAGAAAATAATTAGAATGTTGATATACATTGATTAGATGTTTGAGTAACAATAAATATACGTTATGAAGAAACATTGATTTTATATGTTATTCCTGATATATTCATATAATATTCACCATCAACATTACATCGTAATATTTAGAAGAGGAACAAAGGCCCATTGCCGCAACGTATCTGTGACATTAATAAGCATCTCTCTGAATAACATCACAAAGTAACAATGTGCTATAACATGTATGTTTGAGTTATGTGTCCATGTTTAGTGGGTTCAATGTACCATCATTTGGTCTAGTGTACAAAGTACCATAACGACCCATCACGGTACCTGCTCCATGGGACATGGAATCAGCTACTAGTATTCGTATCTAAAATCATACAATGAGTATATCAAGGAGATATAAGTGAACCAAAACGTTGTTGAGCAATGTATAGTCATGAATTCTTCGTCACTCAATATAATAAATCAGGTCCGCAAGTTACTGACACATTCCTTGAAAAACGAAATATCCATATTGGTACGCCACACCGATGTGATTTTTGGACGTCATCGATACGATACGGCATAGTCATTAACTAACATTTTCATCACTATTAATGACACAAAATCGTAATGATGATTATCACGTCATGAAAGAATCACACAGTGAAGTACAGGACTGAACTTTTTCCTCGGTGTAATTATGAATTGTATTTACCTACTCATATTTTCAAAGATTTCAAAACTATAAAACTGTTTGCTACTAATCAAGTTCAGTCCATCTCATGCATATAAAAAGACTCCACCCATAAACTCATTGCATTTTGCATTCTACCTAACGCACCTATCAAGGTTGAAATGTTGTGTAATGGTGCGGAAACAAGAGATCGAGGATCGAGTGATATAGTTTTGCAATAATTGGGTGGTGGATCAATTTTATTCTTTCGCCAAGCACATCTCAAAAGAAGCTGATTTCAACCATATGAGGCGATCCCACATACAGTGGGGAGATGTCAAAATAGAACCCGATTGTAAGATTTACGGCCTGTTCTAATAAAGCCGATATTCTTAAACTGCCTCAGAACCAAGTTTTGACTCGTGCATCAGACTCAGTAATATTGTTAGTAAAATTATCATGGTATGCTGACAGTGTTATAATTCAGATTCACAAGAGCTAATCATTATTTCGTTACTTTGGTTTGAAATAATATACCTATAAATGGGTCACTTCAATCCCTGATTGGAGGAAAAAAGGAACAAAGAATATCACATTACTGAAATTATTACAAATACTTTTGTATACGGTGTGTCCCAAATCCAATTTACAATCTACCCTCGTATTTCCTTCGTTAATTTGACGACTAGATATTTTCAATAGGTTGATCGAAGAGGTGGACTATTCATTTCTTCAAATTTTTCGAGTGTTTTTCCTCGTGTCTATGAATAAGAATATTAGTATCTCTTCGATATACTTGTAAATTATAGTAAAACAGTAATGGAACTTTGAAAAATTCAAAACAATAATATAGGAGTATTGAATATATGAAATTTCAAAACTTTGGATGTTTCGGAAACGAATCTGCTTCCGTTTTTTCAACATAAAAACGAAAAATAAGTCTTGATAATCAAGTTTTTGTTCTCCTACTTGAACACTTCTTAGTGACAGAATTTGTCAGAAAATCAGTGAGTCATACAAAGTATTTGTTTTCAAATTTATTTCGACTGATTTTTGAAGTTTGCAGTACTGGCGAGATCCTTTCAACCTCACACAGTCTCTCAAATTGTGTTTTGTAATTGGTAGTTTTGATCTCGAACGTATGATAGGCAAAAAAGCAATGGTAAATCTCTTTCACCTGGATTGCATGCAATCATTACAGTATCGCTGAGTACAAAATACTTATTGATTTTGAACTGACTTGGCATTTTGGACGAGCAAATCTTCTACCTCATACCATTTTTGTATCTGCTTATTGGTTATACCAGGTTATACCGATCGAAGGTGCAAATGATGCGGAATCATAGGCTCTGCTGCCTAGTTCGCCTATATGTAAGAGCTAGACAGGGAAAGAAACATGCCAAAAAGGGAAACAAATGCCAAGTTTTCACTTCAAGTTGCTACGTATACCTACCAAGGTAGGTACTTCATTCATTTTATGCACATGTGGCAATATGAAAATGTTCGCTTCATTGAAAATCATTGTGACGTCATTAGGACATGAAATGCGACGTCGTTGAGACATGATATGCGACGTTTCATATGGAATCACTTTCAGGTGTTATACAAGTCCACATTTTATATCACAAATGGGACACACTGCGATTAGATGCTACAAATTAATCCATCATGATATGGTCACAGATTATAAGGTTTGTTAATCTGTGATATGGTGGAATTCGAAATGAAATTCTAACAGATCTAGATCGAAGAGACATTAGTTGTACCTTGGGATATTTCATCCACCTTGCATGGGATTGAGATTATATCTATTCCAATTTTATGTGTCAGGTGATATATCATATTCATTCCTATAATTGAGATGAAATAATTACAATATTATGATTATATCCACCGTCGTTGCTAAATGTTTGTACCTCAAATTTGAAGCTGATTTATGTGCTATACAGTTTCTCATGCATATCCTTCAACAGAGAATTCAGAGGGAAATATATTCTAATTAGACTGTGCAGAGTCGGACTGTCGAAGGACGAGATCAAGGAATCAACAAACAACTATCAACGGAGTGAGACATAGACAAAGTCTGCGTCACACTCACAGGTCACAAGGATTTCCAATTATAATATCAACAGAGATTATACAATGTATAATCTCTGATATCAATGTGTATTATTCAGTTAACGTCGATTAGATATAGCATCATGAATGATCCTGCCACATTACATGTTTCCCTGTTTGTCGATGTCGCACGATGGTTGGCTAGGGATCCTGATAAAATACCGTTCTGTTCGGTATGACGTTTTACGTTTCTATAAAGTAGGTGCATTCTTTCATTTTACTATAACACTCAATTGCCGAAATACTTATTCAGACTTTCCTGAATATCATTTTGGTATGTGGGTATATTTTTATATATAATCTTTGGTAGAAGTCCATATTGCTCAAAGTGGAGTGAAATATTTGTATCTGTTTATATACTGGACGATTCAACTCCTAACAGCTTCTCCTGAGCTACAAAGCACAGATACGACCAGTTTTAGAATACTATTCTCACATATGGGGTTCTGCACCCAAACAAACGCTAATGCTCTTAGATTCCATCCAGAGAAGAGCCATCCGCCTGGTGGGTGATGCCACACTCACTAATATATAATATTTCGAACACCACTCTACCAAAACTTGTTCGTCTATAGAACGACGAAGCTTCGGAGTTATTCGCCAATGGAAGTATAATCAAGAACTTATAACCTCCAAATGTTCAAAAAAATTCCAACACCTACCTCTTCTTCTTATCCTCCCTATAGGTTATACGCACGATGTTCCACGAACATTATAAAAATCTCCAGTCGTGCGCTCAAAGAGATAAAAACCAACAAAAAAAAACTACAGCGAAGATATACAGAGGACGTGAAATGGATCCAAGTCCTACGATGCATCAACTCATAACAAAAAATAGTGATCATCTGATATTATTTATTGGATCAAGGCTTTGGAAATTTTGTGGAATATCTACAGTATATGATGAAAGTTTTTGGTGCTATGCTCAAGCGAAACTTGGCTGACATTTGAACCCACGACTGTGCGGTACACACCCAAAGTAATCAACTCTCCTGCCCTGAAAGATTAATTTCCTGGTCTTGGTCGAATCTACTTGTTACTGCTACTTGTTACTTTTGCTCTGTTTTTCAATATATTATTCGCTTTTCTATAGTTTTGGATCGATATGGTAGTAGCTAATTTATTATTCATAAAATATCATACGTAACTTTGGTACTTATAGGTATACAACTAACTAAGTATAGGATTTTTAGAAAACAATAAATGTATTGATTGATTGAATAATTGATCTGGGTCACCTGGTATTTGCACAATGCTGAAATGAGAAGTATCAGGTATTTCAGCATTTGGGACGAGTGATAAATAATTATGTATCTTTGTGCTTTGGTTTTGGAGGTGGTGAAGGCGAGGTCAGCTACAAAGTTTAGAAGGATATAATGCAGTAGATATGCAGTTCTCATCATCCACTGAATGAACCTGCTCATTTGCATTATCAGATCACGCGTATATTATACTTACATATAGGTAATAATATAGTTTGTGTTTTGAGATGGGGTCTTTCGTGGTGAGTAGTTCCCTTAAAATGTATACAGGGTGTATGGAAATTATTTCACATATACGTGGGTCCGGAAATGCATAGTATTCAAGAAACGGTGTGTTAAACTTTTCCAAAAAAAATTCGTTTTTTGTGAATATCCCAAATATCCTTCCACCGATTATCATGCAATATGGCCATAATATTTTTTGTCATGAGGGGCTGATTTAGCCATCACTGAATTGGAATTGTGGAATCCAGTGGCGCCCGGGGGGCACCCTACCAAATATTATTGTCCATAAAAAGTGCGATGCTATTTTTTTTAATTCTATATCTTTTTATCCTATTGACCAACTGAAAATACAACATTCTGATCACTTGACTTGTTTCGATATCGTGCTTCGTTTCCGTGGAGAAAAATAATTACCAATTTATTGTATAAACTTGTGCAAAAAATGCTTTCAAAAACTGGGGTGAAAATGAATGTGTGATTCACGATCATAGACATAGAATAAGAATGCAGATTCTTAGACAAAGAATTTTTGATATGTGTGAGGTGATCAAACAAAAAGAGTTGCAAATACCTCTGCAAAAACGATGGAACACAACTATTTAATTTGTAGGGAATGTTCAAAGTTGAAGTTTACAAATCACCCGTGCGTTCGACGAATTGTTACAAAAGATTGTCCGAACTTTTGAAGATTTTGATCTGAATGAAATCAAATCTGTCATGACAAAAGCTGTCAATAACCGTATTTTGAAGTGCTAGGAAGTGAACGGCCAGCGGTTCGAACATAATATAGTATTCCACATAATTCCTTTTTTCTTATAATTATTTATATCAATATTTCCACCTGCAAGTGTCTTGGTGCTTTTTAAAGTTGATCGAAATGCATTGAATATTTTCTGTATTCGTATACCTTTCTTGAGATTCATTGTCACAACGTTACTGTCAAATATTAATCATGGCCTGCTTGGCAAATACCGAATGGGGATAACATTTCGATGGGACATTTTCACGAATTCGCGAGATTCACGAAGTAGGCGACACCTAGGTTACATAATACGAACTTCAAACTGGGGGAAAACAAATCTCTGTCATACTTGTCAATGACATAAAGTGTTGGCATAAATTGCATATTATCAATGGAGACGGAGAATGTATTCAAGAAACGAAAAAGTCGATATGTTGATAATATTTAATTTCAATCAACACACAAATGAGAAAGAAAAATTATTGATGCAATCGATTTACTGTCAAACACATAAAACATTTTGTGTAGGTACACCGCCTACTAAGTGAAATAATTATGAAATAATAGACTGATAGCCCTGTGGATCATCGTATAAGAGGAACAATTCTAGTTTTATTATTCCAAATGGGAAGATCATGTGATAGGTACATGGCGAAAATAATAGACAGATAGTTTCTGTACGAGTAGGTGAATTCGAAAAAATATGTTCCTATATCTTAGATTTCTCAATATCATGAGTTATTTTCGAACGTTTTCATCTTGACTCAAACAAGCTATTGACAACCTGCAGACATTGATGACAATATCAAAACATTTTGAATAATATCGGTTCACTAATGATCTTTAAATTTCAAAGCCTACCAAGTGTCGATATATCATCGAATTCATGTCACAGCCAACTTATTCTTTTTGAATAAGAAGCAATTCAACAGCGAATTAAGAAATAAATACCACTTTGTGATACATAGTTGGATAGAGAATTTCAAGGCGAAAAAGATAGACTGGAGAAATGTACACGGTGACATTTAAAAAAAAAAAGTTGGGGTCACTTCCGGTCAAACAGGTGGTTGAAAAAAAACTGTCGTTAAGTTCGTAAAGTGCGCTACCATTTATTATTTTATCTCTTCAAATAAAAAAACTACAGGCTGCTACATGTCTCCTGTATCACCCGGTATATCTAATTCGCGGATGATGAGCTCATGAAAAGCCCGCCCACCCCATTGTTGCATCAACTTTTTTGAAGTCGTGGAGATAACTTCGAGATTTATGCCTCCTTCTGATATCTAATTTCGCCTTATTCTTTTGTAGTTGTTGGTACTCGGATTCCTCATGATAAATGCTGGTCACACGGGACACGTAGGACTGATAGTAGGACCTGGTGAACCTACAACAATAATTCAAGGTCCTGGATCGAAGGCTTCTCTGCTTGGCCCAGACGGTAGTTACATCTCATCAGCGGTAGCAGGAGGAACTGTAGTCTCACCTGCCAAAGCCGGTATGTTTTTCCTTCAGATACATATGCATTGAAAATATAGTGAACATGATATCATGAACTTCTAGTGATTGCCGCCATACGTATTCTTTCTCCAAATGACAAGGTCTCATTTTACTGCCTAGGCAGAAAACGTTTGTTGCTATGATACGTTTCAAGTAATAATTTGAATCAAATTTGTGAATCAAATTGACAATGCTCCTGGGTGAACACAATATCATGGAATATTTGGACTTTGCGTGAAATTGAAATGAATTCGGAAGATTCAATGCCTTAGCTGATTTCCTAGCCGCGGCTGTGCCTTGGCTATGAAACCCAAGCTGCGGCATCAATTCTTGTGATTTTCTGCCTAGCAAGACAAATAACTATTCCATCAGACAATGCCAACAATTTATCGGCGGTAACTAAATAAGAGATGATTAACATATCAAAAGATTCACAAATTATCACGCATTTTCAGTACTTTCTCAATTCAGGATTTCTTTCCACGTCCTGTATGATGAATATCAATTTATCATGCACCCAAAAATTTCTTGTCTTATGTTTATATCTCACGACGCGTCTGAACTGCCATTCTGAAAAAACTTATTTTTTCTCACGAACATTTGCCTAATTTACAGTTGCAACTGTAAATTAGGAGATGTGTAGAAAAAAAGTTATCTTGATCTAATTTACAGTTGCAACTGTATACTAGGCAGAAAATAGTAGATTGTTTTATTAGGATCAAAAGTGACACTTTGTTTGACAAGCGAATTTTGCATTTGCGAGGCGGAGCGTTTAGCGAAGCCGAGCGAAAGCAAAATTTGCGAGTCGAACAAAGTCACTTTTGATCCGAATGAAACATGATATTTTTTCTGCAACCGAAACAATTAAGTCGAATAAACATGTGAAGTAACCTCGGAAGTAACCATGCACCAATGCCGTGCCATATGTATGCAATGCAACAAATATCGACAAATAATCCATGTGTTGAGAATATTCTACCTGCATTAACAGCAGGTTAGGTTTTCTAGGATGTTCGAATTGTAGTTTCAATATGAATCCATTCACAGAGTGACATATTTGTGTATGGACCAGGTGCTCTAATGGCAAATACCGCGCCAGCTATAGGAACAAGACATGGAAAATGTTAGGTTAGTGAGCATATCAACAATGATAATAGTGTTTATTTATTCCTTTCCATACAACACTGTGTTAGACTTGATAATCAAATGAAGCTAAACAACATCGTTGTTTGAGACGAAAAAACGATTGCTTGCCGTGATTATTCAAAAACAAGTTATCCATCCCGAGAAAAACGAATGAAATACAGATCAAGCAAGTATTTGAATCTTGAAGGCTTCCTTGATCAAAACAAAAATACTTAACTGAGATGTTCATAATAATTCCAATGCTAAACTATAATAAGGTGTATTTATATCTCCAGCATGGGTATGAAATGCCAAATCTGCTGAAATCGGAAACAAATCAGGTATGCGTCTCAACCCAAATAACCAACCGTCACAATGTTGTTTTATTCTTGAGTCTAGTACATACTTTTTAGTTCCTAGGAGCTAAAGTTCAACTTTAGATCCTAGGAACTAAAATTCAACTTTAGCTCCTAGGAACTAAATATGTTGCCTAGCAACATACCTAATATTTTTGTGGCAGTAATAGAAACGTCAATTTAAGAGCTAATTTTGGTATCAAAATGGACGACTTCTGTGTCGGTTGCAGAAAAAACTTTTCTTCTTCAAAATATCTCCTGATTTACAGTTGCAACAGTGAATTAGGAGGTGTTTTGAAAAGGAGTTTTCCCTGCCTAATTTACAGTAGCAACTGTAAATTGGACGATATTTAAAAAAAGCACGCGATGCGCTGTGACTGTGAGACTCTAATTTACAGTTGCAACTGTAAATTAGGAGATGTGTAGAAAAAGAGTTCTCTTGATCTAATTTACAGTTGCAATTGTAAATTAGGCAGGAAACAACTTGTTTTCTTCAAAATATCTCCTAATTTACAGTTGCAACTGTAAATTAGGAGGTGTTTCGAAAAAAAGATTTCCCTGCCTAATTTACACAGTTGCAACCGTGAATTAGTGCTAATTTACAGTTGCAACAAGAACATTTGCCTAGTTTATAGTTGCAGTAAACTAGACAAATGTTCTTGAAAAAACCAAAGATTTTTTTAGGATGGCAGTTCAGACGCGTCGTAGTATATACATTTGGAAACTTTTCTGCTGCGTAATGAAAATAGTGCTTCTTCCTTAGGTAATACGTGTGTATTAAGATCTATGGTTATACGAATTTTTCTCGAAATTTATGGATTTTCAATTCCTAATAGCTGAGAGAGAGACCTGAGAATTCATTACAAAGGTAGCTCAACTAACCCTACGCAACTTTCGTCAACATTGCAGCACTTATGATGACGGAAGCGCTTCACAAAATAAAGAAACTAATACCTAAAACTTAATATCAAGTTTATTGACTCAAACATCTGATCTGGTATTTCAGGTGGAGTTGTATCGGCATCCGTATCTCCTGGATACGCGGCAGCGGCAGCACCTTTTGTAGCAGCAGTACCAGTAGCAGCTGCGATACCTTCAGGACTTGGTGTCCACGGACTTGGATTGGCTGGACTAGGATTAGCTGCTGCCCCAGGATCAGGACTCGAAGGACAATACGTGCACGACAACACGGAGCTCCTCTATGACGACGGTTCTTACATAGACGGAGTACACGACGGTCTTTACTGAACCACAATATTCATTTTGAAACCGAAAAGGGCTTTCATGAAGCAATATCTTCGACACTGTATTATTGATTAATAGAAACATAAGAAACACATTTGATGGTATATTATTGAATCTGTCCACCTTCTGGTCTTAGGCTTCATGATACACTTCGATTGCCAGGCTCATGTTATAATATCGTAGGTACAGGGCTAGTTTCAATAATGTGAACCCCTCTTTATCTCTTTTTTTTTTTCATCTATCCAAAAATTTTGAAGCTGACTTCATGAAATTATGTTTCAAACAGGTTTCAAGTGACTTTGTTGCAATATCTTACCGGATATTCAAGCTATACAGAAATATATATATATTTTCAAATAGAATGCACTGTCTATTTCGATATAAAAATCATATATTTGAAATCAGGATGTGTTCAGGAATTCAAATCTATCAAAATATACGGCACATTCCAATCGAAAAGAATACATTTTTTGTATACTCTGTATATTTGAAGAGATATTGCATCATTGTCAATATGAGTGAAATATGTATGAGAAATTGTATAAAACCAGCGTTCAATTTTTCTGAATAATTTTTTTTTATGTTCTGGTTTCCACGAAGAGGGATATCCTGTAATGTTCAGAGAACATCGTGAGAACCAAGGGAAATAAGGTAGGAATTGGTGTTCTTCTTAAATTTCTGGAGGTTATAGCCCTCGAAGAACACCTGCGTCTCGGAATAATTTTCAAAATATCCATGAGCTCGAAAAACTTTCCGGAAAATAATTCAACCTCGTGTGGTATCCGGTAAGAAAATTTAACACCAGATAGTGTTTGGAAATTAAATAATTTCAGAATTTATGTTAGTTTGGGTCGCAGTTTCGGCACCAATAATAGATTCCTGATTTCTACCTTTTATATTTGCATGAAGATACTAGTTTAAAATATAACATATTATATTCTTTCATTCTATATTAACTTCGGGATACTACAAGTGATGAGAAATTATAATTTTGTCAATTAATTTTTCATAGGTATAGAGGTACAGGTACAGAGAAAGGGGAGGCGGTCGCCTAGCAAGTAGGCCCCAGTAACCCTTTTTTGCCGACCCCTGCTGCACACGTCATGAGCACATTATCTATACTGTTCCTTCTCCTAATTCTCCTTTCCGAACCTCCGTGGATTTCTGATGAAGCCTTCCATGACGCCTTACGCCGGTAGTGATATGACATTCTATATAATAGATGCAGTTAGGTCATTAATGGATTCTTAGCCTATCAATTGTTGGTTTCTACCCAATTGAAGTAGCACAAAATCACTATTTTAGGACGTCAAATAGTAGATTGTTCTATTAGGATCAAAAGTGACACTTTGTTTGACAGTCGAACAAAGTCACTTTTGATCCGAATGAAACATGCTATTTTTTCTGCAACCGAAACAATTAACTCAAATAAACATGTGAAGTAACCCCCAATGCCGTGCCATATGTATGCAATGCAACAAATATTGACAAATAATCCATGTGGTGAGAATATTCTACCTGCATTAACAGCAGGTTAGGTTTTCTAGGATGTTCGAATCGTAGTTCGCCAGTGCCAGCTATAGGAACAATAAGACGTGGAAAATGTTAGGTTAGTGAGCATATCAACAATGATAATAGTGATTATTTATTTCTCTCCATACTACACTGTGTTTGACTTGATAATCAAATGAAGCTAAACAATATCGTTGTTTGGGACAAAAAAACTATTGCTTGTCGTGATTATTCAAAAACAAGTTATCCATCCCGAGAATAACGAATGAAATACAGATCAAGCAAGTATTTGAAACTTGAAGGCTTTCCTGATCAAAACAAAAATACTCAACTGAGATGTTTATAATTCCAATACTAAACTATAATAAGGTGTATTTATATCTCCAGCATGAGTATGAAATGCCAAATCTGTTGAAATCGGAAACAAATCAGGTATGCGTCTCATTCCAAATAACCAACCGTCACAATGTTGTTTATTCTTGATGACGTCCAGTACATCCTTTTTAGTTCCTAGGATCTAAAGTTCAACTTTAGCTCCTATAGGAACTAAAATTCAACTTTAGTTCCTAGGAACTAAATATGTTCCCTAGCAACATACCTATTTTTGTGTCAGTAATAGAAACGTTAATTCAAGAGCTAATTTTGGTATCAAAATGGACGACTTTTGTGTCGGTTGCAGAAAAATATTATTCTGTCATGAAAACGTCGTCATAAAAAAATTCCGATTTCATACTCTGATGGGTACCCACGAGAAAAAATGTCCATTAAAATACATACGTTGCTATCGTAATTTGTCGTAAAACCCAATTCAACTATATAAAAATCACTGGTGAAGAATTTTCATAGGAATTTTATTGAAACTCTAGGATGTTGCGACGTGCAGGTGGTGTTTGTCGTTTTCCCTGTCACAAAAAAAAATATTGTATTATACACGAGAAAATATAAGATTTCAGCACTCTATTTTTCCGCTACGCATCGGGAGACAACACTACCTCGAGCCAAAATCTAATACTTTTTTCCCTTGTATAATAATAGTAAATTGTTTCCTTAGGTTCAAAAGTGACACTTTGTTCGGCAAGCCAATTTTGCATTTGTGAGGCGGGGCGTCTAGCGAAGCCGAGCTGTGTTTGGCTCGGTAATCGAATGAAAGAAAACAATAGCGTTGTGTGAGACAAACAAGTATTGCTGACCGTGATTATTCAAAAACAAGTTATCCATCTCGAGAATAACGAATGAAGTACAGATCAAGCTAGTATGTGAATCTTGAAGGCTTTCCTGATCAAAACAAAAATACGTAACCATAATATGATGTATGTATATCTCCAGCATGGGTATGAAATGACAAATCTGCTGAAATCGGAAACGAATCAGGTATGCGTCCCAAGCCAAATAACCAACCGTAACAATGTTTTTTTTTCTGCAACCGACATAAAAGTCGTCCATTTTGATACCAAAATTAGCTCTTGAATTGACGTTTCTATTACTGACACAAAAATATGTATGTTGCTATGGGCAACATATTTAGTTCCTAGGAGCTAATGTTGAATTTTAGTTCCTAGGAGCTAAAGTTGAACTTTAGCTCCTAGGAACTAAAGAGGATTTACTGGACGTCATCAAGAATAAACAACATTGTGACGGTTGGTTATTTGGGTTGAGACGCATACCTGATTTGTTTCCGATTTCAGCAGATTTGGCATTTCATACCCATGCTGGAGATATAAATACACCTTAGTATAGTTGAGTATTGGGATTATAAACATCTCAGTTAAGTATTTTTGTTTTGATCAGGGAAGCCTTCAAGATTCAAATACTTGCGTGATTTGTATTTCATTCGTTATTCTCGGGATGGATAACTTGTTTTTGAATTATCACGGCAAACAATAGTTTTTTTTGTCTCAAACAACGATATTGTTCGGCTTCATTTGATTATCGAGTCAAACACAGTGTAGTATGGAGAGGAATAAATAATCACTATTATCATTGTTGATATGCTCACTAACCTAACATTTTCCAGGTCTTGTTCCTGTTCTGGCGCGGTATTTGCCATTAGAGCACCTGGTCCATACACGAATATGTCACTCTGTGGTTGTATTTATATCGAAACTACAATTTGAACATCCTAGAAAACCTAACCTGCTGTTAATGCAGGTAGAATATTCTCACCACATGGATTATTTGTCAATATTTGTTGCATTGCATACATATGGCACGGCATTTTTGGTTACTCAACATGTTTATTCGAGTTAATTGTTTCGGTTGCAGAAAAAATAGCATGTTTCATTCGGATCAAAATTGACTTTGTTCGACTCGCAAATTTTGCTTTCGCTCGGCTTCGCTAAACGCTCCGCCTCGCAAATGCAAAATTCGCTTGTCAAACAAAGTGTCACTTTTGATCCTAATAAAACAATCTACTATTATTCTTGATGAGCTCTAGTACATCCTTTTTAGTTCCTAGGAGCTAAAAGTATTGCCTTCCAACATTCCTATGTTCGTGTCAGTGATAGAAACGTCAATTTAAGAGCTAATTTTGGGATTAAAATGGACGACTTGTGTGTCGGTTGCAGAAAAATAAAAATTATTATATTTGACCTGAGAATTGGGTTATTGGTACTGATTCAAGTCGACAGCGATAGTTGGTTGAATGATTAAATGATATTTTGCTGCTATACAGGGTATTCCTTATTGACATGCCAATAGTCGAAGGGGCGGTTTTTGGATTCATTTAAAGAAATAAACTTCATATGAACGTATGTTGTAAACGTCTCAACTTTTGATATACAAAGTATCAAATTTGATGTGAAATAATCAGTTTTATTCAATTACTATAGGCAACCGCTTAACAAGAATTGAAAATATTCAAATGTATTTGTGGGAGACTGAGGGCGAATGAAATATTGATAACATGTCCAATCGGCTTCCGCCATTAGGAGGATATTATTGTTTGTATTTCACCTAAAATGAGCAACGAACGAGTTTTTAGAAATTGTATAGAAAACTATAAAACATAATATCAAATATGACCACTTCTCGAAAGTCGATATATGATGACGAACCGTTTTCGAGAAATAACTGAAAACGTTTAACTTCAACACCCCGTATCTCTAAGGTTAGGACGCTTACGACATACGTACATTTATTCAAACACTAACACTACAATATACAAAACATGATCACAATATCACTCAAAATAACAACTTCTACTGATTCAAAAATTCACTATAATCTTTCTTATACTAACACTAATCTCATCTGGGTTTTAGAAGGTTCTAAACAATCTTCGAATTTCGATTGAACATGCTTATGTAACAGCATTTTCAGATTGAAACTTGGTAAAAATATTGTTGAAAACAGTCGCTAAAGTGAGATATCGTGGAGTCAATATACCATCGCTTGCTTGTTAGGTATGTACCTATATTTTGGTTTTTTTTCCAATTCCTTCCAAAAATACAGGAAAGTGATTCCATACATACTTTCTGTCTACCCAAAATAGAAATAAATACCGAAATTGCTGAAAACATCACCGTACAACTAAACAATAACTAAATATTATGATCAAAGTTTATTAATTTTATTTAACAA